ACAAGTGACATACGGGCCTCCTTGGTCCATCGCTCATTTTCTTTTCTCAGTTGCTGATTGAAGGAGGTCACAGGTGAGGCCAACTGAGGACCAAAATGCATCTGCTTGTCTAATGAGAGGAAAATCAGGGTTCTGTCTCCCAGACCTGGGATGCTCTTGGCTCTGCTGTCTTTGCCCTCTGGCCATGTCCTCAGGCTAGCAGCAAGTTGGCCGCCCCAAAGCCAAATGCCCTTTGTACAGAAAGGAGATTGCCCTTGTTTCACTGCCATCTTTTATTTATTTAGAGATGGAGTTTTGCTCTTCTTGCCCAGGTTTCACTGCCATCTTATTTATTTAGAGACGGAGTTTCACTCTTCTTGCCCAGGCTGGAGTACAGTGGTGCGATCTCGGCTCACCACAACCTCTGCCTCCTGGGTTCAAGCGATTCTTCTGCCTCAGCCTCCCGAGTAGCTGGGATTACAGGCATGTGCCACCATTCCCAGCTAATTTTGTATTTTTTTTTTTTAGTAGAGACGAGGTTTCTCCATGTTGGTCGGGCCGGTCTCGACCTCAGGTGATCCACTTGCCTTGCCCTCCCAAAGTGCTGGGATTATAGGTGTAAGCCACTGCGCCTAGCCACTGCCATCTTCTTTAGGAAGAGAGAAGCGACCATGCCTGAATCACTCATTGGCAAGAGGAACATTGCCAATGTTATGGACTGAATGTTCATGTTCCTCCAGAATTCATATACTGAAGCCTTTGTCCACATGCACACACCACCAGATAAGGACCATGTGAGCATACAACAAGAAGGTGGCTGTCTACAAGGCCAGGAAGAGGGCTGTCAGCAGGAACTGAGTCTGCTGGCACCTTGATCTTGAACTTCCCAGCCTCCAGAACTGTGAGAAAGAAATCTCTGTGGTGTAAGCCACCGGTCTGTGGCATTGTTATAGCAGCTCAAGAAGACTAAGGCAGATGGGCTCCCAGGACCGGCCCAGACCAGCCAGGGCCCCTTGTAGAAAAGGCTGATGCCAAAGTTGGCACATGGAGGGTACAAAGAGGACCCGCCTGGAGTACCTTTCAGTGTAAGGAACCTATCAAAGAATAATCGCTTGTTCCACTGGCCAAAGATGAGACAATTTGAACATCAAAAGAGATAAGTACTGACTCTACTCCTGACTTCTGCTTCTGGAAAAATGAAGTAGGTGTTTTCCCTATTGCTCCCACCAAGTACAGTTAACAACCCTGGATGTTACATATAAAACAAACTAAAAGACTGAGCGATGGAAAGAAGGCAGCCTATCCTGGCCGGGATCCTCAGGACCTGAGGCTCCACACAGCAGAGAAATTCCTGGAATCTGGACCCCACGGCCCAGTCAGGTTGACACATAAAACTGATCATCACCGATCTGTAGGACTACACAAAAGTGCTAACATTCATGATTAGCGTCTCAGAAGGTTAAGGAGGAAGAGAGTGGAATGGAAAAAGTATTCAAAGAAATAATAACTAAAGGCCAGGTGCAGTGGCTCATGCCTGTAATCCCAGCACTTTGAGAGGCTGAGGTGGGAGGATTGCTTTAGACCTTGTGCCTGGCCTGAGCAACATAGGGAGACTCAGTCTCTACAAAAAAATTAAAAATTAGGTGGGCGTGGTGGTGCATGCCTGTAGTCTCAGCTACTCGGAAGGCTGAGGCGGGAGGATCAATCGCTTGAGCCCAGAAGTTTGAGACTGCAGTGAGCTGTATCATACCTCTGCACTCCAGCCTGGGTAACAGAGCTGAAACCGTGTCTCAAAAAAAAAGTATATATAGACGTTGGAATACTATTCAGCCCTTAGAAAGCAGAAGGTTCTGTCATTTGTGACATGGATAAACCTAGACAACATGATGCTAAGTGAAATAAGCCAGGCACAGAGACACATACCACATCACCTCACTTACGCCTGGAATGGAAAAGAAGTCTTGGGGCAGTGGCTCGTGCCTGTAATCCCAGCACTTTGGGAAGCCAAGGTGGGAGGATCGCTTAAGCCCAGGAGTTTGAGACCAGACTAGGCAACATGGCAAACCTGTCTCTATAAAAAATAAACAAAATTAGCTGGGTGTGATGGTACATGCCTGTAGTACCAGCTACTTGGGAGGCTGAGGTGGGAAGATTGCTTAAGCCAGGGAGGTCAAGGCTGCAGTGAACCATGATAGTGCTCCTGCACTCCAGCTTGGGCAACAGAGTGAGACCCTGTCTCAAAAGAAAAAAAAAGCTAAATTCATAGAAGTCGACAGTAGAATGGTGGTTAGCAGAGGCTGGAGGAGAGAGGGGTGGGTTGTGGTCAAAAGGTACAACGTTCCAGTTAGGGGGAGGAAGTTCTGGTGGTTTATTGCACAGCGTAGTGACTAGTTAATAACCATGTATATTTCAAAATAGCTAAAAGAGGGTTTTAAATGTTCTCATCACAAATAAATGATATTTGAGGTAATAGATATACTAATTAGCCTGATTTGATCTTTTTTTGTTGTTTTTTCTTTTTTCTTGAGATGGAGTCTCACTGTGTTGCCCAGGCTGGAGAGAAGTGGAGTGATCTCGGCTCACTGCCGCCTCCACCTCCCGAGTTCAAGTGATTCTACTGCCTCACCCTCTGTAATAGCTGGGGCTACAGGCATGCACCATCACCCCTGGCTAATTTTTTGTATATTTTGTACAGACAGGGTTTCACTATGTTGGCCAGGCTGTTTTTAAACTTCTGACCTCAGGTGATCCACCTGCCTCAGCCGCCCACAGTGCTGGGATTACAGGCATGAGCCACCGTGCCCAGCCAATTTGATCATTCCATAATATATACATGTAACAAAACATCACACTGTACCCCATAAATGTATACAGTTATTATTTGTCAATTAAAAATAAAATTATAGGTAAGTCAAACTGGTATTCTAAAAAATGTTCAACTAGCCACAGTTGGGCAAGAAGAAACAAAAATGAAAACCGGAAATAAACAAAGTGATAAAAAAAAATCACAAGGAGACTAGCCTGAGCAACATGGAAAAACCCCATCTCTACAAAAAAAACCCAAAAATTAGTCAGGTGTGGTGGTATGCACCATTGTCCCAGCTACTCAGGACGCTGAGGTTGGAGGATCACCTGAGCCCAGGAGTTCGAGGTTGCAGTGAACAATCATCACACCACTGCACTCCAGCCTTGAGTGACAGAGTGAGACCCTGTCTCAAAAAAATAAAAAATAAAAAAGAGCTTATCCTGTCTTTTTAGTCAGGATAACCAAATAGCCTTGGTCAATGAGGTAAAGCTATACTTGACAGATGGATTCTATCAAATATATTAAGAATGACAATTAGAAAATCACTTTCAGGCTGGACACGGTGGCTCACGCCTGTAGTCCCAACACTCTGGGAGGCCAAGGCGGGTGGATCGCTTGAGGTCAAGAGTTCGAGACCAGTCTTGGCAACGTGGTAAAACCCTGTCTCTACTAAAATATACAAAAAATTAGGCATGGTGGCTCCTGCCTGTAATCCTAGCTACTGGGAGGTCGAGGCTGCAGTGAGCCAAGATTGCGTCATTGTACTCCAGCCTGGGTGACAGAGTGAGACCTGTCTCAACAACAACAACAAAAACCTAAAACTTTATTTTATTTTCTCTTGAGACAGGATCTCAAAGCGAATTTTTGTATTTTTAGTAAAGACGGGGTTTCACCATGTTGGCTAGGCTGGTTTTGAACTCCTGGCCTCAAGTGATTCACCCCCCCTCGGCCTCCCATAGTGTTGGGATTACAGGCGTCAGCCACTGCGCCTGGCCAAAACCCCAAAACTTTATATTCATTGAATATCTACTACCCATTTCCTCCTTCCCGGCAGCTCCTGGCAACCACCATTCTACTTGCCGTTTCTATGTGTTTATTTAGATACCTCATATAAGTGGAACCATGAGGTATTTGTCTTTCTGGGTGTTTTTCCTTGTTTGTTTGTTTTATGAGACGGAGTCTCGCTCTGTCGCTAGGCTGGAGTGCAGTGGCACGATCTCGGCTCACTGCAACCTCCGCCTCCCAGGTTCAAGCAATTCTGCCTCAGCCTCCCGAGTGTCTGGGACTACAGGCGCCCACCACCACACCCGGATAAGCTGGACCTGACCTGGGTCCTGTTTGCTTCTCTATCTTCACCTCCCATCACTACCCGCAGCTACACTCCAGCTACACAGGACTTCTTTGAGTTCTTTCAGTGACCAATCTCTTTCTCGCCGCAGGGCTTTTTCACTGGCGGTTCCTTCCGCCCAACATGTCGGGTTTCTTCCTTTTTGCGGGCTGGTGCCTTCTGATTTCAGAGACTCTCTCCAACACAACCATCTGAAATGGGTCTGCCTCCCCGCCTTTTTTGTTGTTGTTGTTGCTTGGCTGCACTTCTGACCGGGCCGGCAGTGACGATGTTTGTTTATGAGTTAGGTCTGACTGTTCGTTGGTGCTTAGGGTCCCCACCGAGTCCCTAGGGCATGCGCGTACCGCGCACCTGTGCACGCCCTGCGCGCACCTGCAAGCGACTCCGCTCTGGCTCGTCGCTGCTGTTTCCTCCTGGGGGTGCCGACCCTGTCCCAGGCTAGCTGGGTGACTTCCCCCAACCGCAGAGACAGCGGCGACCCGGAGCCTGAGACCTGCGTCCGCATCCCGCCGGCGCCAGGCAGTGGGAAGTCAGGTTCCTCCGCCACCTCCCAGCCAGGTAACTGCCCCGAAGCCTGCCCCACAGCCCGGAAGCCCCCCGCCCCCCAGCTCGGGGACCCCACCCCGAGGACTCGCTATCGCCTCCCTGAAGGACTACACCTCCCAGCGGCTCCCAGCGCGCTCCTGGGCGCCGCCCGTCCTGGCCGTAACCCTTTAGTGGCTGCAGTGGCGAGGAGGGGAATGGAGTGCGGGTTCCCGGGGAGGGGGCGTGTAGGATCGGGGTGCGGGGGGTGCGCTATAGGGCTAAGAAGAGGATGGACTTTGGGGGGCCCTGAGGAGGAGGGGAGTCAGAACTAACCGAGGACAGGGTTGCAGCGGGGGCATGGGGAGGGCGGGCCCTAGAGCGCCGCTCCTCCCCCAAATTAGGATTTGGAGCCTCACGTTCTCCCAGAAAACGAACCTGTGAGTGCCAGGCCAGGGGCGGCGCCCAGGTGCGGAGGGGGCAAGATACGGGCGTCTGCCGTCGCTAAGTGCCCCCTTCCACTTGAGGCACACCTTCGCCTCCGATCCCAAACCTCCCGGGGACAGAGGCAAGTGGCAAAGCGGGGAGGGCGAAGGTGAGGAGTGGGTACCCCCACCCCAGGGACCAGGCGCTGCCGCGGGCCCTTTGCCCCCCCCCGGGCCCGGGGCCGGAGCTCCGGGAGCCCTTCCTGGTGCCCCCCGTCCTCCTGCGGAGCCATGGGGTCGGCTCCAGCGCACGGCAGCAGACCCCTCGCCTCGTCCTGGCCCCTGCCCTGACCCGGGGGCGGCCGCGGGGGTGTCCGGCCCGTGGGGCAGGCCCAGGGCTCGCTGCGGCCTAGCGGCCGATCCCGCTGCTCCCTTGCGCCAGGCCGAGCTGCGCTTTTTCCCTCGGAGGTGCGCGTCCTAAGTGGGTGGGGTGGGGGGCGCAGGGAGGGGCGGCCACGCTACTCTAAGACGCTTTCACATGGTGGGAAGGCCCGGAGAAAGAGACAGCGTGTGCGGAGGGGGTGCCCCCTCAGATGGGGGGTCGGGAAGTCTCCCTCAAGTATCCAGGACAGAGGGACAGCAGGGGCCAAGGCGGAGATGAGATCAGTGAGTGAGGGGAGCCCGGAAGAAGTGAGGCTGCAGCCGCGGCCCCGCAAGGGTTCGGACTTTCCTCTAAACGGGGCGGAAGCCCATGGAAGGAAGCGGTTAGCAGCAAGGCAGAGTCCTACCCCCTCTGCAGCCCCAGCTCCCAGTGCCTTGGGCTTTCCAGGCACTTGTCCGGGTAGGGGATTCAGGGCAGTGGCCAGGCTCGCACTTTCCTGCCAGCCTCAGCTGGCCACATGCCCCTCTGACCCTCCGAGTTCTCCTCTAAAAATGGGGCTGACAGCCCCTACCTCACAAAGTCCACACCGGGCTCCACCTGCTACCTTCCTCCCCAACAGGACTCCGCCGCCCCCCTCAGGATGCCTGAGGGCCCTGAGCTGCACTTGGCCAGCCAGTTTGTGAACGAGGCCTGCGGGGCGCTGGTGTTCGGCGGCTGCGTGGAGAAGTCCTCTGTCAGCCGCAACCCCGAGGTGCCCTTTGAGAGCAGTGCTTACCGCATCTCAGCTTCAGCCCGCGGCAAGGAGCTGCGCCTGATACTGAGCCCTCTGCCTGGGGCCCAGCCCCCACAGGAGCCCCTGGCCCTGGTCTTTCGCTTTGGCATGTCTGGCTCTTTTCAGCTGGTGCCCCGCGAGGAGCTGCCACGCCATGCCCACCTGCGCTTTTATACGGCCCCGCCTGGCCCCCAGCTCGCCCTGTGTTTCGTGGACGTCCGCCGGTTTGGCCACTGGGACCTTGGGGGCAAGTGGCAGCCAGGCCGCGGGCCCTGTGTCTTGCAGGAGTACGAGCAGTTCAGGTAGGGCCAGCACCAGGTGTGATGAACATAGTCACACTCTGTTAGTGCCTTCTTGGTCAACAAAGGGCAAGTCCCTGCCCCTTCTGGGCCTCAGTCCCCTCATCTGCAGATCAAGACAGTGTCCCTGTCCTGGGTCAGCTCCCTGAGCCAATGGACATGGAAACTCAAAACTAACTGGAGGCCGGGTGTTGTAGCTCACGTCTGTAATCCCAGCATTTTGGGAGGCCGAGGCAGGTAGATCACTTAAGGTCAGGTCGAGACCAGCCTGGCCAACATGGTGAAACCCTGTCTCTACTGAAAATACAAAAATTAGCCGGGCATGGTGGCACATGCCTGTAACCCCAGCTACAGGCTGAGGCAATAAAATCGCTTGAGCCGGGGAGGCAGGGTTGCAGTGAGCCGAGATAGCACCACTCCACTGCAACCTGGGCAACAGAGCATGACTGTGTCTCAAAAAATAATGATAATAATAACTGATGGGGGAGGAGAGAGGAGAGTCAAGAGGAGGATGGGTAGGCACTGCCCTGAGGACATGTGGCCAGTTAGTGTCAGAGAAGCTGGGGCTCCCACTCACAATCCCACACCACCTCTCAGGGCTCCCAGGAGGCTGAGAAAGTAGAGGGGCTTTAACATGGTAAGTGAGGCTGAGCGGAATTGTTTCAAGGGGATGGGGAGGGGACTACCTCATGACATGGCTTCCGTCTTGGGCTTTGTGGTCTCCCACATCCGGCCTGCCCACTACTCTGTGTCCTGTGGTCTCCTCTGTGCCGCTTCCCTGCCTGCAGGAGGGTATAACAGCCCCACCTGGGATGTGATGCAGGTCACCTCAGATGGTACAGTGTTGGCCACTTCCTTTCCTCTGAAGAAGAAACGTGTATGAGTCTCTGCTTCGTGCCAGGCCTTGTTCTAGGGGCTCGGGGTACAGCAGTGAACAAGATGAATATGGCCCCTGCTCCCACAGAACTGATGTTCACATAGGGTAGGGGAATGATAAATGGACCCATGCCTGAGGAAAACCCAACAGGTGAAGGAGGTAGAGGATGACTTGGCCGAGGGTGGGGGTGCATTAGCAATGGCCACTCTAGGGAGGTTTGAGCTGAGGCCTGACTGATGAGAAGGAGCCAGCCAGAGGAAGGCATTGGAACTGACAAGAGTCACAAATGCAGAGGCCTGGAGTGGGCTTGGCAAGTTCTCCCCTTCTGGGGGACCCTGGGTGTCCGTTGGCCCTTAGGGGACTTGGATGCCTGTGGGATGGGTCGGGGATGTCTCTGGTGCCTTAGAAGGCCATTGACTCCTGGCCTTCCCATGTGTGAACCCCAAGCACATCCCCAGGGAGACATCTGTCTTTGGTTCTGGATTCCTCCAACCTCAGCCTTCCTGGGGAGTCACGCCACAAGTTAACTCTGCCAGCTGGCTCTGAAGTTTCTCTCAAACCGCGAGCATTTGGGCTGTTTTCTTAGTCCTCCAGCTGGGGCGTGTGGCGATTGGATTCCCACAGGGATCAGGGCACCTCCCAGGCTACCCTTGTACCTTCACCCCAGAACTCTGTCTTCTGGTCCACTCATCACACCCACTAGTCAGTCTTGCCACGACCCTTTTCCGCAAAGAAACAAGATGCGCATCCTCTTTACTGTGGGGAGGAGACACCCATGACCCTTGGAGGTGGGGTGGGGGCTGCTAGGGCCCTTACTGGTACCCCACATATCTGCTGCACAGAACCAGACAATATCCAGGATCTTGAGAAGAATGGACCCTAACAATGGCAAACCCACATATAGTCTTTAACCCACCACAAATGCTATACAGGGAGCTCCAGACTGCAAACGCACTTGAGGTCCTGTGGCCACACTGTTCTCATGTCCTGAGGAGTCTGAGGTGATAAACTCACAACCTCATATATAACCTCATGTTGCTTTTTTTTTGAGACAAGGGTCTCACTTTGTTGCCCAGGCTGGAGTGCAGTGGTGCCATCACAGCTCATTGCAGCCTCAACCTCCAGGGCTGAGGTGATTCTCCTACCTCAACCGCCTGAGTAGCTGGAACCACACGAGCACACCACTAAGTCCCTGGCTACTTTTAAAATTTTTGGTAGAGACGGAGTCTTCCTTGTTGCCCGGGCTGGTCTCCTGGGCTGAAGCAATCCTCCTGCTTCAGCTTCCCAGACTGCTGGGATTATAGGTGTGAGCCACCACACCAGCCTCACGTTACTTTAGATCAGTATTTTTCACCTTTCACAATGAATTTATTTTTAATTTTGTTTTTATTTTTTGAGATGGAGTCTCGCTCTGTGGCCCAGGCTGGAGTGCAGTGGCATGATCTCAGCTCACTGCAACCTCCGCCTCCCTGGTTCCAGAGATTCTCCTGCTTCAGCCTCCCAAGTAACTGGGATTACAGGCACCCACCATCATGCCTAGCTAACTTTGTATTTTTAGTAGAGACAGAGTTTCACTATGTTGGCCAGGCTGGTCTCGACCTCCTGACCTCAAGTGATCTGCCTGCCACGGCCTCCCAAAGTGCTGAGATTACAGGCGTGATCCACCGTGCCCGGCCGTCCTATCACAATGAATTTAAATCCCATGATGTTCCCATTTAACAGACAGGAAAACTGGGGCAGGGAGAAGAGAAACTGGAACTCCCAGTTTCCTTCCCCTTGCACCCAGAAACAGGTTCTCTGAGCCCCTCTCCCCATCCCATGGAGAGTGGGGATGGGTCTTATGCACCCAGACTGTGTCCCTCCAGGGAGAATGTGCTACGAAACCTAGCGGACAAGGCCTTTGATCGGCCCATCTGCGAGGCCCTCCTGGACCAGAGGTTCTTCAATGGCATTGGCAACTATCTGCGGGCAGAGATCCTGTACCGGTCAGCAAGCAGGCATGGGCATGGGGACTGGGGTGGGCCAGGTGTGCCCACATTCCCCACTGCCTAGCATGGCTTCCCCTCCCCCCACTACAGGCTGAAGATCCCTCCCTTTGAGAAGGCCCGCTCGGTCCTGGAGACCCTGCAGCAGCACAGGCCGGTGAGCCCAGAGAGGGATGGAGCACATGTGCTGGCACACTGGTGTCCATGTGGGCTGGCAAGGAGATGGGTGGGGTCAGGTGTCCCCAGCTTAGCTCAACAACGGGGGTGGGAAGGGGATGAACCACCCAAGGTCTGGCCAAGCTCACAGGGAAGGTCAGCTGCCTTTACATTGCCCCACTGACAGACAGGTCCTGCCCCTGCCCCTGCCCCTGCCCCTGCCCCTGCCCCTTCCTCAGAGCCTGAAGCTGACCCTCAGCCAGAAGATCAAGGCCAAGCTGCAGAATCCAGACCTCCTGGAGCTATGCCACTCAGTGCCCAAGGAAGTGGTCCAGTTGGGTGAGGCCAAAGATGGCGGTGACCTCTGCTTCAGCAAATGATTGTGTAACCCTGGGGCACTTGTCCCTCTCTGGGCCTGATTCATTCATTTGGAAGTTTGTAGCCCTAGTTATTCAATGGACTAGGCCTCCTGACTTGTCAATAGTGTTTCCAGGCCGGACGCAGTGGCTGCCTGTAATCCCAGCACTTTGGGAGGCCGAGTGGGGTGGGTCACCTGAGGTCAGGAGTTCGAGACTATCCTGGCCAACATGGTGAAATCCCATCTCTACTAAAAATGCAAATGATTAGCCAGGTATGGTGGTGGGCACCTGTAATCTCAGTTACTTGGGAGGATGAGGCAGGAAAATCGCTTAAACCTAGGAGGTGGAGGTTGCAGTGAGCCAAGATCACGCCATTGCACTCTAGCCTGGGCAACAAGAGCAAAACTCCATCTCAAACAAAAAACAAAACAAAACATAGTGTTTCCTCCAAGCTGCCCATGAGACAGGCAGGACAGGGATTCTTTCATATATTCTCACACACACACACACACACACACACACACACACGCGTGTACATGTATTACTTTTGGTAGAGATGGGATCTTGCCATGTTGCCTGGACTAGCCTCAAACTGGGCTCAAGTGATCCTCCCACCTCTGCCTCTAAGTAGCTAGGACTACAGGCTCACACCACGACACCAGGCTAATTGTTAAAATTTTTTTTTGTAGAGACAGGATCTCCCTATGTTGCCCAGGCTGGTATTGAACTCCTGGCCCCTAGGGCTCCTCCCACCTAAGCTTCCCAAAGTGTTGAGATTACAGGTGTGGGCCACTGCACAGGGCCAGGACAAGGATTCTTAATCCCACTCCAGGATGGGAAACCCATGGCCGAGTGGGAAGAAACCAGCTGAGGTCACATCACCAGAGGAGGGAGAGTGTGGCCCCTGACTCAGTCCATCAGCTTGTGTAGCTGAGGTCTGGGCCAGGTCTAACCAGGCTCTCCACTCCTCCCAACCTGAGCCTGCCCTCTGATCTCTGCCTGTTCCTCTGTCCCACAGGGGGCAAAGGCTACGGGTCAGAGAGCGGGGAGGAGGACTTTGCCGCCTTTCGAGCCTGGCTGCGCTGCTATGGCATGCCAGGCATGAGCTCCCTGCAGGACCGGCATGGCCGTACCATCTGGTTCCAGGTTGGGCCCTACTGTTCACACAGGCAAACAGAGACCCCAGGAAGCTGATGCGTGGAAACATGGGCTCACAAGAATTGGGGTGGAGATACTCAGGGCCTGTCTAGACCCTCCAAGGATCACACTGTTCCTGAGGGTCACATCCCTCCCCTCCCTTGCGTCCCAGGGTCGCAGCTAGTGGAAGTAGCCCAAGGGCAGGGCAGCTTTGCTGATGTGGACTCTGACATGGGGGAGGTCTTAGAGGCTTCCTGGGGGAGAAGCTACATTGATCTGGGTGGGTGTGTGTGAGTCCCACCTCTCCAAGGAATACTGCCCCTGTGCCAACCCAGGCTGATTCCTGAATTATCCCCATCCCATTTTAGGGGGATCCTGGACCCTTGGCACCCAAAGGTAAGCTACTCCTAATGTAATAGGCTAAGAGAGCAGAAAGGACTTCACACCTGCAAGGGCTACAGCACCCTTCTCCACTCTATCCCCCTGCAACCCTGGGAGTCACCCCTGGGCAGGATAGGACCCTCCAACTCCAACAGCAGTGTCCTGCAGGGCGCAAATCCCGCAAAAAGAAATCCAAGGCCACACAGCCGAGTCCTGAGGACAGAGTGGAGGTATCACTGCCTGCTCCCGCCTCCTCTTCCCCTGCACTCTCCAGCCCTGGCTGCCCCTCCTAGGCAGCTGCCTTACCCTAAGAGGGTGGGGGGAATAGTGGGCCCTAACCAACCTCTAAACTGCTCTCTGAGCCCCTCAGGGACCCGTGTCTCCTCCATCCAGGACCCTTTGCCTCCAAGCAAGGCCCTTTCCAGGACACGAAGGGCAAAGAGACACCTTCCTGAGAGGACTGCAACTCAGCGGCCTGAGGGGACCAGCCTCCAGCAGGACCCAGAAGTTCCCACAGTGCCCAAGAAGGGGAGGAGAAAGGGGCGACAGGCGGCTTCTGGTGGGCTTTCCTCATCACTCCCAGCAGCTGGCTCTACAGGAGAGGATGGGATGGTGGCCTAGGAGCGCGTGAACAAAGGTGGGGGAGAGGCTGCCACGGCAGCCCCTGGGAGTCTGAGCTCACCATCTTGCCTGTTCTTCCCCCAGGCCACCGCAGACCCCGGAAGGTCAAGGCTGACACCCCATCCTTGGACCCGGAGGGGACCTCAGCCTCTTAGCAGGAGGGTCTCCTTGCTGCACCCACCCTTTCTTGTCTTGCCCTGAATCTTGGGGTCTGAATTCTTGGGAGCAGGCAATATCTGAAGGTGCAAACAGGCCCTATGGCTGTTCCCTGCACAACTCTCATGTTTTTAATTGTACCCCACCTTCCACATCTTTAAAGCTCATGTGAAAAATGCTGCATTTTTAATAAACTGATAAATTTGAACTTCTTGGCACCTCTTGGTCTGAGATGGCCAGGTAGGAAGGGCCTGCTGCCCAGTCCTGGGGACAGGAGGCCCAGCTCCTCACAAGGCAAAACTGAGCCCCCATACCAGTCCTCAAGTCTCTGGCTCTATCAGAGGACAGTTTGCCTCTGCAGGGACAGCCCCTCAGAGGTGGTACAAAGACCCTGGCCCCAGGCCGCCCAGGAGCCATAGCTCCTCCAGTTCAGATTCTCCAGGGTCCAGGGCTGTTCTCCCATCCTGGCAGGAGCCAGGCAAAACTCACCCTTCGGCCCCTCCCCAGCCCCAGGCCCAGGCCCTTTGCCTGCTGGCACAGAGGGGAGCTTCTCAACTCATGGTCTCTTCATTGGCTTTTGGTCACTCGAGGTCACCAATCTCTTGTGGGGGCTGCAACCCAGACCCTGCACACACAGGTACTTTAGGATCTTGCCTCTACCCACCAAATACCTGGGAAACCATCCCACCCCAGACCTCCCACCCCGACCCCAAGCCTGAGGATGGGCCCTAAGGGGAGCGAGCAGTGGCTACCAGCAGGGTTCCTGATCCAAGGATTTATTCCACAAGAAGAGACTGATCCCTGCTTTAGGCTGGGGAAACAGAAATTAGGAGTCCCCAGAACCTTCCACAAACAAAACCCCAGCCCCAGGGACTCAGTGTGGTGGAGGCTGAAGCACGAGCAACAGGGACAGCACTTGGAAGGGAGAAAAGGTGAGCTTCAGGCGGCTGTCCCGAAGGGGCAAGTGGCCAGCAGGGTCCGGTCGCTCCAAGAGGTCGCAGCTGGAGAACAGGAGAGGCCATGAGGGCTCTGCGAGGGCGAGACTCTACCCCCACTCCCATCCTGCACCGCCACTCACAGGATGGCCTCCTGAACCGGCAGCGACAAGTGCAGCCAGCAGTCCACGTGGCTGCCGTGGGCTTCATACAGCCTCAGGACCAGCGAGCGGCGCTGGGGGCTGCTCTCCGCCTGCAGAGGGACAGGGCTGGTGGGCGGGGCCGAGGGCGGGCCCAGTCCAGGACCCCGCCCCCAGCACATCCCACCCCTTGCCTGCTTGACAGTCTCCAATACCACCGCGGGTGAAGACAGGGAAAAGGCACTCCAGGAGGTGGCGGGCGCTGGGCTGGGGGCTGGCAGAGCCAATAGGGGGAAGTTTAGGCTGTAGGCAGCTTGGATAACGCCAGCATCCTGGAAAGAGCCTGGGGAATGACCAGGAAACAATGCTGGTGGAGAGTGGGGGCTACCCTCCCATGTCCCTAGAAGGAACAGGGAGCCAGGCTGCTGGGGTTTGGGCTCACAGAAGGGCAGAGAGGTGTCTAGGGATGCAGGAAGGCCCCACCGTCCCCAGCACTCACCCTTGTGGGGCATCAGCGCGTAGGTGAACTCGTGGCGCCCCATGTCAGCAGTAGCGTCCGGGGCTTTAGGCGCCCGCAAGCTGGGGTAAGGAGAGCGAGTAGGGGCCAGGCTGAAGCTGATGAAGTTGTGGCCAGGAAGACCCATGTCCCCATGGCAGCTCCCAGGCCTGGTGGGTACCCCACTTACAGCGAGAGGCTAAGGATGCTGCCTTGCACTGATGCGCCATACTTGCAGTCGTTGAGCAGGGCCAGTCCAAAGCCCTGTTCTGACAGATCCATCCAGCGGTGGGCCCACACCTGGAGAGCAGATCCAAGACCCACTTGGTGGCCCTGTGCCCCTCTCTGTGCTTGTAGACTCCAGAGCTCCTGTCACTAGGCTGAGCACAAGCTCTAGAACCACACAACTGAACTCCAGCTCCCACTGCACGGGACTCTGGGCATGCCACCCAACCTGCCTAAGCCTCAGTTTCCTATCTGTGAAATGGGAATAAATAATAGTACTTACCCCACCGAATGATCATGAGTATCAAATTAAATGCAAAACTTTTTTTGTTTTTTTCACACAGGATCTCAGTCTGTCACCCAGGCTGGAGTGCAGTGGCATGATCTGGGCTCACGGCAACCTCCGCCTCCCGGGTTCAAGTGATTCTCCTGCCTCAGCCTCCCAAGTAGCTGGGATAACAGGGCATGTACCACCACACCCGGTTAATTTTTTTTTTTTGAGATGGAGTCTCACTCTGTCGCCAGGCTGCAGTGCAGTGGCATAATCTCAGCTCACTGCAACCTCCACCTAAAGGGTTCAAGCGATTCTCCTGCCTCAGCCTCCCAAGTAGCTGGGACTACAGGCGTGCGCCACCACACCCAGCTATTTTTATTTTTAGTAGAGACAGGCCTTCACTATGTTGTCCAGGATGGTCTCGATCTCTTGACCTCGTGATCCGCCCGCCTCGGCCTTCCAAAGTGCTGAGATTACAGGCCTGAGCCACTGCGCCCAGCCAATTTTTGTATTTTTAGTAGAGACGGGGTTTCACCATGTTGGCCAGGCTGGTCTTGAACTCCTGAACTCAGGCAATCCACCTGCCTCGGCCTCCCAAAGTGCTGGGATTACAGGCATGAGCCACCGTGCCCGGCCAATGTAAAGCATTTAGTGCAATGCCTGGCACGCACCTTAGGAAGCAGCAAATGTTGATTATCCTCTTCCTCCCCAGCCCGTACCACACAAGCAGTCTCCCCAGCCTGGGAGGAATCCAAGGCCACTCGAACCCTGCCATGTCAGACCTCAAATCGAGCCCAGTCCCAAGAAGTATTGTAGTGGGTAGGTCGCTGCAGGTGCCCAAACTGGATCTCATAGGTAGCCTGGGAACTCCGCACGCGAGCAGGGAACTCCACCTTCAGGAACTTGTGGGCCTCATGCCAGTGTACCTGGGAGCAGGATGGAGGGTGGAAGTCAGGGAAGGAAGAGACACACCCAGGCCTGGGGCTGGCCCCTCCTTACCAAGCACACTTGGGGAAAACAGCCACCCCGTCCCCCACCCACCACTACCTCGGTGTGGAAGCGGACATAGGGGCAGCCAACATCCAGCACGACCTCCTGGCTAAGTCGACTGTTGGGGCTAATCTGCAGCAAGAACCAGGCGCTGCCCCGCAGGCCACCCTCGGTGCCCACTGCCAGGGTCCCTGCCTGGCCCAGCACAGGCTTCCTATGGGACAGGGGTGGACATACTGAGCCAGAGCAGCCTGTGTTCCTGCCACCTCCACCATCCCCACATGCTGCCCAGCCCATACCGTGTCTCCAGGTGGTAGTCCATGACGTCCCATGCATCCCAGTACAAGGGGACATCATCAAACAGCACAAACTGGTTCCCCACGGCACCCTCAGCAATGGCCTCCCTGGAAGGACATGGGATTGATGCTGTACAACCATCTGACCTTGCTCCCTCCAGCTGCTCTTGGTGGGGTAGGGTGGAGTGAGTAGACCCAGGGGACAGGCGACTACTGCCCAGCCTGCCCTGCTCCATGTGTGGGTTCCAGCCCACAGCCACTGGTGGGCTGCTGTGGGCAGTGTTGCAGCCAGGGGACAGAGGAAACGGGCTGGGGTCTCCTTGCCAGGCACTGGGAAAGGGCAGTAAGGAATTGGCACCTGCCAGAGGCCACCAGGACCAAGGATGTCAGGCGGCCAGTTGGGTCCAGCTTCACTCGGATGATGCCATTATCCAGAGTCACGGAGCCATCAGTCTTTGTGGGAGGAGGCCTTGAGGCTGAGTCTGTAGGGGCTTCCCACACCAAAAGTCCTCCCACCCCAACCCCAGCCCCGCCTCACTACTTGCTCCAGGCAGGGGAGCTCAATTGTCAGAAAGCATCCCAGCACAGCTCCTGCCCCCTAGGACATGCAGGACTCACCTCTTGCAGTACGAACACAGGCTGCTGGGGCAGCAGGGGCTGCAGTGAGGTGGGGGGAGGAACAGGAGCATAGCCCATGCTGGGCACCGTCACCAGGGCTGGGGGTGAGGCCTGGGCATCAGTGCAGCCTTCCTGACCTTTCAGGAAGCTTGCGTAGGTGGGGGTGGGGTGGTGGAAGATGAGCTACTACTCTCCAGTCAGGGGCACCCAGATCCCTAGGGGTATCCCAGGCCTGATCTGTCTGGCCTCCATCCTTCCTGCTGCAATAGCAACCCTTCCCCTCAGCTTGTACCTAGGCTGTGGGCCCCACCCGGCTTGGGCAGGGCCATCACTTCGGTCCGCTTCCAGGGCAGCGTGTTGACGATGAGGAGGCCCTCGGGACCTGGCTCCCCAGCACACAGGGCTGCGGCTGCGGTGCTGAGCAGTGTATTGCCATGGGAACGGATGTCTGAGGAGAGACTGGCTGGTCATAGGTGGGCAACAGGTCTGGAATGAGCCCATGGGTATCCCACAGGAGACACTCTGGGCTCAGCCCTGGCATTGGAGAGAGCGGGAAGGACTATTGTGAGCCTAACCTTCGTAGTGGCACATGGCTTCCCCTGCAACTATCTGGATGCAGCTTCCAGTCACCACATCATGGAACTGGTTCAGAAGCAGGAGCCTGCAGGGGCCAAGGGCAGGGATGGGAAGACTGGGAGGGGCAGCCACAGAGGTATCTGCAGTGAGCAGTCAGGTGGGTGGGAGGGACAGAACCAAGCTGACCTCCAGAGGTGCTGCAGCTGGGCTGCTGGGTATAGGAACTGGGCACTGCGGGCCAGGGCCAGGCTACTGAGCAGCTCCACATCGTGCAGGATTCGCTCACATTCCCGGTTCCCCTTCTTGATCTGAGCCCGGGATGGGAAGATTAGTCTGGAGCCTGCTTAGGTGTCCCAGGACACCCTCCCTTGCTCAGAATCCCTGAGGACCCCCCAAGGGCCTCGTGGAGAAGGCCTCTGGAAGTGACCTGCCTTAAATGCCTTCCCTCTTCTCCCCACAGCCCAAACCCCTTTCTTCAGGGACACTGCCTCCTTCAAGCCTTCTTGACCAACCCAGGTCTTGAACGTCTCTCCTCCAAACTTCTCTTCCCCTAGATCTGGCCTGGGCTCTCTCCCCAGCTGCCTTCTCTGACCCTCTGCAGATCAAGGGCACACCCTCCCTGCACGGCCCTGCAACCTGCCCCTGACCTGGGCATGGGTGGT